GGGAAAATAGTGTTTCCCACAGTGATACAGGCAGATGGGGAAGTAGCCATCAATAGTAGCTTCTGCTAAAAAACAAATCAGTTCTGGTAGAGTGCATGTAGCGGCCACAGGGAAGGGAGCAAGGAGGCTCCGCCAACATCACATGCCACAGCACCAGTTCTGAACATTGCAGAGGCCCATGGTATTGGTTTTGATCACCCAGAAAGATGCCCCCACCACATGGAGGGCAAACTGCGTACAAGCATCTAGAAGGGCGACTACCACAAGGCACACGAGATGTAATGGATGCTCTTCTTCAGATACATGTCTAGAAACAAGCATTCAAAATCCTGAGATCTCAGGTACTCAGGAGTATTTCTCTTCTTCAGTCATGGCCAGCAGAGCAGTCCAGGCTGACCTGACTATGCCGGTCCTCGAATCCCTGGGGAAGGTAACAGTGTATATAGCTGATGAACTGTTAGAGAACTGTAGAGCCATCTACAGTGTTCAGTTTGACGGATCTAAATTCCTAAGAGCAAGTAGTGTTGGTGGCCAGAACTGAAGTGGTCCAGTGGAGGATCTGGGAAACTGGGCTATCCCAGCTTCCACCAGCCCCTCATGCTGTAGGGTCTGCAATACTACTGTAAGTCTCAGTATTACTTCCTGCCCTCCACTGAGGGCAAGGGCTGTACCAACATGATGGACAGGTACTCCACTACACAAGGCTTCTGAAGCGGGTGGGTGAGTTCGTGGCCCAGGCTGTGTACAACTGTTTCTCTGTTTGAAAAACAAGAAAGGTGCCCAGGGGGTCTTTACAAGGTGCGCACAGAAGCTCCCGTCCATCGAGGGGACCTTCTTTCAATCCTTGCTCAACTTCATCTGATTTCTGCTGCTGGCTGTGGACAAACTGACTGTGTTCACAGTGAGCACCACCTGCTTCCCTACATGGGGACCCCATGTACAAAGTGTACCTGGACAGGGGAGCTGCCAAAGCAGACCTCCTCCAGAGAGGTCAACCTGGAACAAGCTGAGCAGCCTCGTGGACTCCTCACAGCGGGAGGATGGGGACGAGTGCTAGGATGACAGAAGCCCCATCAGCCTGCATGGAAGCTGCCTGGCCAGCATGGAGATGCCCGTGACCAGCACCACTGGGAAGGATTCAGTGCCAGGCTGGGCATGAGGCCCCTTACACAGTAGGTTCCTGTTCCGGGGCTGGAGGGGCATCTGTGCAGAGTCTGTCCCTATTTATTATGGAGGTCAAGGGCTGTATGGTAAGGACCAGGAACAAAGCCCAGCTTCTGCTGCCCACCGATGTTCCTCATATTTCCCACAATAAAGCACAAGTCCTGCTGCAGCACCCTGTGCCATCCTTGTCTCTGGTTCCTTGTGGAGGGCTCTAGTGGGACAGGCAGCCTGGTATCAGTAACCTGTATCCCTTCTTGTGTGTCCACTGTTGCCATGGCACGCCAGAGGAGTGGTTCTCACTACTGGGGGCCATGCAGGATCCTGAATCCTGCAGATGAGAGCGCTTTCTTGTTTGATTTCTGTTTGGACACAGAGTTGTTTTCTAATCATGGTGAGCTTCTCAGGGACAGAATATGTTCTGTGGTGGCCAAGCTCCTTGGAGGTAGAGATCAGTCATTCAAGCTACAGCCCTGCTGGTCCCCATGAGCTCCACGCTGCTGCTCTGCAGATGTTTTAAAGGGTGTAGTAGGTTCTCATTCCTTCATGTTGTCATATTTATTTTTTTTTCTGGGTGAGTGATTTTGCAATCTAATGTTTAGGACTTAACCATTTTATGAATCCAGGAGTGAGCAACCAACTCTACTACCACAGATAACGCCCATGCTACCAGTCAGATTATAAAGGGAGACTCCATATTTTTCACAATTAAAATAAGTAAAATTTCTGGATTACAAGACTCTAAGCTGCTTGGGAAGGAAGTAGATGTGCCCTATTTTCTATAAAATGGAATTTAAAGGAAGGCTTATGTCATCAGTTGATTAATTCTCAATTTTTTTCTAAAGGTCTGTTTACGTTTTGGATCTATTCTTTGTTTAATTTCTCTGACCCAGATATATCTAGAATTTTACCCCTTTTATTAGGGTTTCCTGGTTCATAGATTTCAGAACTGTCTAGCCTTGTGATTTTTTTTTGTTCTTGTTTCCGTTTATTAGTCTAGGAATATACAAAAGTGTGACATGGCCCAACAATCTCATGGAAAGAAAACAGAATACACAGGAGGGGGGTGGCTCTCTTCCCTGGCCCAATGCCTCAGGAAGGCACACATGTGAGGCTTGGGTACGGGGCCTCCTGTCCTGGACCCAGTGTGCTACACCGAAAGCCAGGCCCCTTTTTGAACAGAAGAGAGACCCTTCCTCACACAGACTTGGGGTGTGGCTCAGGAGAGCTCAGGCGGCTGAAAGAACATGCTCCAAGCCACGGCTGAACTGTGCTGAATCTACGGTGCCAGCCTTCAGAGTAAAACCAGCCAACAGCAGCGAGATAACCCAAGACAGTACCTGTGGGACATCCTTGTCCCTAGCACAGTATACAGGCCAGCATAGGCTCAGATTGGAGAAAAGGGGTAGGGTGAGGAGCAGAGAGGAGACTCCAGATGCTATCTGCCACCTTCCCCAAAGGGGGCCAACTCTGTTCCCTGCATCTCCCCCTTGGCAAGAAGAACCAGACCTTCAGTCACATGTAGGGTGGTGGGAATGGAGATGTTTGCTAAACAGGGCCTCTGCCTCTTGAGAATCCCTGGAGCAAAGAGGATTATCTAAGTGGCCAAGTCATAAGGATTGTCCTTCCCCAGTTCAGCAGGGCCAGATGTCTGTTGTTTGGGGAACCCTAGAGGGGGTGGATAAGAAACCATCAAGGCCCAGAAATGTCAGCCACCACCTTGTGCAGGACATACTAGACGTGAGAACTTAAAATACTGACTCTCCCCTTCTTACAAAAGATCTAACATAGCAATGGTTTAACAAATTATAATTTCTTTTAAATAACCCACAGACACCCATGACGCTTCCAAATTTACAGAGCAAAATGCACTTGAGAACTTGGTAGAAAAGGATTCGCAGTCGCTCCTTCCAGGAGCTGGACCCCATGGGCTGGGTCAGTTCACCTCCAGCACCTCCTTCTCCGGAAGGCCAAATTTGGTCTTGTGATTGTCAAAGAGCTTCACCAGGGCCTCCATGTACATGACGTGGTACATGTCGATATCCTTCTGGGTCGGGTACTCCAGCTTGGGGACAGTGATGGGCTCACCCACAACAGTGGTGATAGGCTTGGAGTAGGGCACCAGCCCCCAGGTGTCAGAGGAGAAGAGGCCTCGGCCATGGAAGATGCATGGGGCGAAACCAATATACTTCTGGAACTTCTTCTGGACCCAGCGGCCCCAGGAGCCTTTCTCAAAGATCACCTGCTTGTACACCTCATTCTCTCCAAAGGAATAGGTGGGAACCAGATCGGCTCCATGGCGCAGGGCCAGCTTTACAAAGCCCTTGCGCGGTTCCGCAGAGTGACTACGTTCTTGCCAGGCATGGAACTCAGGGACTCGGCTGCACCTCCCACCACGATGATGATCGCATTGCCACTCCCATTCTTTGAAAGCAAGTAGTCTATGGTGTCTCGGTTGACAGGGCAGATGCCCCCAGACATCAAGTACTCCCGAAGGACAGGCATCCGGAAGTTGCCAGCCAACGTGGCCAAGTAGGGCCTTATGCCGGGAAACTTCTTGCTAACTTCGGTCGCCTCCGTGCTAAAGTTGCAGAAGGCACCCAGGCCCATGATGCCATGGGGATGGTACCCAAAGATATAGTTCCTGGTGGTCAGCAGGTTGTGCGTCTTCACCAGCTGGATGGGAAAGTAGTCTCGGCATTAGCGCCACACGGCCCAGTTCCGCACCCACTGCAATCTCCTGCCACCTTTCTTGGGCATGTTCCAGTCAAAGGCCAGCCAGGTGAAGTAGAGCACAGCTAACAGCCAGCAGTCGGTGCAGAAGGTGTACATGAGAGATGGCTCAGAGGTTAAGAGCATTGCCTGCTCTTCCAAAGGTCCTGAGTTCAATTCCCAGCAACCACATGGTGGCTCACAACCATCTGTAACGAGGTCTGGTGACCTCTTCTGGCCTGCAGGGATATACGCAGACAGAATATTGTATACATAATAAATAAATAAA